CAAGTTGACGTGAACTTTTCCAAAGGCTTTTACGTTCAACAAATCAAAGACTGTCACATCTTAGAAGTGGCTTCCGACTTCTATCCCATGAATTCGAAGCTTGTTACAATGCTGCGTTTGATAACTGACAGCTTGCTTAGACCGACATTTTAATGCCATACTCTAGAAGTTAAAGTGAATATTCAAATTATTCACATATGGAAGATTTTGTAAGAGCAATTTCATAAATAAACAAAAGTGGCATACAAATTCACTTTTACATCATGACAACTACTTAAAAAATAGCAACTAAGGGGAATTTGCATAAGCCAAAGTCCTGCTTCATGTTCTGCATGTCTCATAAATGCATGCACCTGGGAAAATAGGTGTCAGGCAAGTCCAAAGAAGAACAATGTACTGAGTTAGGGAACTCCTTTAGGAAGAGGAGGTGTTTACTTAAAGAGATTATGTAATTACTCTCTAAGCTCTGAAACCTCAAGGTTCTTCAAATGTTGCCTGATGGAGACGTCTGTAGGCCTAAGATCCGCCCCAGAATTCTCACAGGTGCTGACAACTAACTGTGCAGGGCAGAGCCATCCTGTGTGTCACTTAAAGCACTGACTCTAGTCACATGTAAGGATAAATTCTCCTTATGCTTTTACCAGTCTCTGGAACCCAGCATTCCGTCACCAACATGGCCTCTTGCTCCAATCACCAACCTCCAGCAAAAAGCAACTGTTTATGGGGCACCAGCTACCGTTCACGGTGCTGACTGTGCTTGGGGACAGCAAGAGCCAAGCACAGACTCATTAAAACACTGCAGGGAGCAGGAAATAAATACTCTGAAAGCGTATCCTGTGACACCAACAAACTGCTTTATCCTTACAGGCGTGGGTGTGGGGAGACAGGGTGAACCCATATCCTAGTCACCTTGAGAAACTAAGTAGGGTCCAAGAGGTGAAGTTTCTGTCCAAAATGCTTTTAGCACTTAAACCTGCCAGCTCTTGACCCCCACGCCCACCCCAGAGGTGGAGCCAGAGGCCCCTCCAGTCTGCCCACTGACACAGTTTTCACATTCCTGCAATGTCCTGTGGTAACAGGGTGGTCCCTAGGAAAAGGGGAAGTTCCAGGTTCCCTGCCCCACCCAAAGGAGGGTGGAGCTGAGCAGAGAAAAAGGAGAGAAGAGAAGGAAAATGAGAAGAAAAGAAGGAAGCTGGATGGAGAACAAGAAGGAGACCTGAGGAAGCCACGTGGAGCAGCAAGCATGTAAGAAAGAAACCCCAGAAGGAGGGTGGGGCAGGGTACCTGGAACTTCCCCTTTTCTTAGGGACCACCCTGTTACATTATTTCCAGCAAGGTCAAGATAAGGGAGGAAGGGTTACCCTAGTAAACAGCTTAAAAACCATGGGAGGCTTTCCCCCAAGGGCAAACTACCACCAGGCACAAGTGCACTAGCAGCACCTTGAAGGCTTCTGAATGTGCCTGGAATGTGAGCACCCCTAAAGTGCCAACGTGCTGCCACTGGCCAGCTTGGCCACTCTGTCATTTCTTCTCTCAGCCACACATTTTCGGAGGGTCCTACACTCGTTCCCATGTCATGCCCCCCAAAGGTCTGTGGATCTATGACCTAGGGATGAGCCTGAGACAGCCCTCAAGGCTCCTCTACTCCTCGCAAAGAGGCAACATGTCCTCTCTCCACTCGGTTCCTCTTGGTGGCCCTCTCACGGTCTGCAACGGCAGCTCAGCTACCCACGATGCTGACTCAACAGCACCACAGTGTCCTGGAATCCGTATTCCCCAGAAACACACCTGGGTGGCCCCAATATCTATCGTCAGGTCTGCCGTGGACCCGAGTGTCCCCAATCTCCTCCACTGCCAAAGTAAAACTTGAAAGCTTAATTCCTCACAGAACTCTCATCTTCTATGTCCACCCAACTGCTAGATGTGCAGTTCCTCAGCTGCTAAATCCCTGGAATGTTTCCAGGCTACAGACAAGTCTCTTCCGAACCAGTTGTGGAATATTCCAACCAAGGCTGGATTCAAAGGCTCCTTCTCGTGCAGCCACCCCGCGCAGGGCTATCCTCAGGTTCAGGCCTACCTTTCCCAGGCTGCGGACTCTGTTCTCACCTACCCGCCCGTACTGCCCAGTTCCTTCACAAATAAATCCAGATGCCTGAGTGCCAGCTTCAACTGTTTCTTCGTGCTTCCTTTCCAATCAAGTCTGGCTTACTGCTGTCATACTTGGACTCCACATCTTTGCTGAAGTTTCTCAAAACGCCAAAACAGACTTTCCTATCCTCTAAATCCGGAAAGCCTATTACCCAACTCAGTCCTCAATTAACATCAAATATTCTGCAATCCATCGGCATGCATTCAAACTCTCTTAATCCCTGCAAACTTGTAGCGCTTTTATCACCTGGCATACTTCAGTAGTTTACAGAGCTTTCTATTATCTCCACCACTAATGGAGCAAGGATTAGATGTAAGCGACCTCCCGAGGCCCCACTACACCTGCTGTTGCACAATACACGCCAGTCAGCTGGGTGGTTTCAGATCAGAACCGGGTTTAATGGGATCTGAGTGTAACCTGTTATTGAGGGAAGAAAAGAGTGCTGTGGTATTTTCCTCAGAACTTTTTTAAAAAGAAAAGACCCTTGCATGGCAGGGTACTTTCAACAGGGAGGTAACAAGTGTGTGTGTGTTCCAGCTCTAAAGCACAAGGCGCTCCTCTCCTCCCAGGGCCAAGGTATCTAGCAGGAAAATGCCCAAGAGCCTTTCCCACACGCAGCTCACAGCTGACCCACTAGTTGAGAGCAAATGTGACTCAGTTCAAGGCCAGGGTGTCACTTGCTGGTGCAAAGCCCTCCGGGGCCATTTTCCTCTGACAAGGCCACCAGAAGCTGTAAGGTCTCCGGGATGAGCAAATCCTCCCACTGAAGGCCTGGGTGTGAGAGGGCTCTTTGCTGTTGCAGGCCACAGACACATGCAGGTTTCTTACAGCAGCAACATAGACTAGCTTTGGGCTAACGCATAAGGTTGAACTATAGCACACAACAATGTCAACAGCCATCACAGCAGATTTGGGGAACATCATGAATAGCAATGTTCTAGTTTTAAAAAAAAGATTTACTCAGACAAGAACTGGGGCCAGGCCAGAGGTGTGTGGGGTGAGAGGATTCACCAAAAACAAAGTGGGGAGCAGAACAGGCAGATCAACTGAGATACACTGCTGAGGGGAGCAGCAGCTGACACAGGAGAGGTCCGCTGGGCCCTGTGGGTCAGCTCCCTGCCAGGGCTCGAACTCGTGCTGCAGTGGCTGTGGCCAGCTTCACAATGCTGCGCCTTAACCCGTCGTACCACCAGGGAGGCCCAAGGGCAGTATTCTTAATGGAAAGAACTTCCAGATTTAGGACAAATGCCTTAGAGTCTACAAGGTTCCATATCACTTTTAATAATATGATCCAACTCTTGATTCCTTTAACTCTAGTTTTCACCCACTACTCCATTAAAAGCAAAGACTTGAGTAATGAGTGATTTAAAAACATTTTTTGCTTTTTGCTGTTAAATGGGAAAATCTAACTTAAGATGTGCAGACTCTTCTGTTAAAAGTAGGCAATGATTTACTACTTATGTTAAAAAATACATTCAATCATGCAGCGTCTACATATCCATTCAATGTACTTAACAATCCATAAACCACATGTATCTCTAAGAAAATATTCTAGATAGATCTGTATCTGCTCAGGCAGAATCAAGTCATGTAAAACACTGCTTTTTGGAAATAATCTCTCAAAATAATAAGCATGCAAGTGATATAATTAAGGCTTTTAAGCAGTTCAAGAGTAACAAAAGTATAATCAACGAAGTGGGAGTCTTAGAAATCCCAGCAATTTTTTCAAAATTTTGCAAATTTTTAAAGCACTGGGAAAAATGAAGGCATTTGAGTGAAAATCTGTCACAGTCTGAACTGTCATTGTGGAAGTCAGGAAGAAAGGCTTTCTACGGTTTGAGTTTTTATTAGAGATGGGCAGATCCCCAAATCATAAAACAGCTCGTATTCATCTGTTATCCAGCACTCTTACTCACAGGTGGCATCCTGGCTTTGTAACAAAGACCTTGTCGGGCCAGGACATACATTATAGGAGAGTGAATTAGATATTCAATTTATCCTTGTTTTCCTAAGTCTCTAAGTAAAAAGAAAGTCCATTTCCAGAAAGAGACTAGTTTGTAAGTCTGCTGGATGGCGACAGGAACTAAAAGTGAAAGGCTCTGAGCTTCTGGATGAGGGAAGGATTCATTTTCTTTACATTTAAAATGGAAACAACCCAAATATTTATCAACAGGTGGATGAATCAGCAAATTGAAGCATTTCCCACATAATGGATACTTCCTAGCAATAAAGAGAAGTGAGCTGAGGATGTACCCAGCAAGAAGCAGCTCAGTATCAGATAAATAAAGAAGCACGACTTTGTGCATGAGTGTATGAGCAGAAACAGCTTTAAACAGAAAAATAAAAAGTGGTTCATTGTGCCAAGGGTCGAGGGGAGAGAGTTTCTGGGGGGAGATGGAAATCTGACGGTGATGGTCGATACAGAGCTACACACGCTGCTCAAAGCTCATCAATTTATACGATTAAATCGTAGCTGTCTGTATGTAAATTATACCAACAAAACTGATTTTGTTAATAGAGGCCAATGAGAGAGCTGGCAATGGGAGTGTATTCATGGTACGTGAGCACGAAGTAGTTAGGCCTGGGAGCTCAACCCCGCTGGTCCTCTTAATGACAGGCATTTCAGCAATAATTTCATGTTTCAATGCTGGCAGAAATACGTTAAGTAAAAAGGAAAATCACACCCTGTCACTGTAAACAAGCCACTGAGTATCAGACACCATGGATGTGCATTTTGCATTAACTTTTTTCATTCTACAACACTTAACTTTGCAATAAGCCTTTTGAATAACTCTTAAGAGCCTACATACCAAGAAGCCTTTCAGGAATACGTGATTCAGATAAATGTTACCTCGTGTTTCAACAGCACTGATGCATTTTTTGAGAATTGTGAATCCCATCTTATCCAACTGTGCACCTAAAAGAAATATAGTATAAAATATATATATAAAATATGAGGCACATACTTATGTTTCCTTACAAAATAGAAAAAAAAAACCTATTTCAATCTGGTTTTTATTTTACAATTTAAACAAAAGGAAATTCATCACTAGTGAATCCCAGCAAACATCTCAGGGAGGGATTAATACCGATCTTTCTGAAACTCTTCCAAGAAACAGAAGGGAGTATCTCCACACTCATTTTACAAGGTTAGCATCACTCTGATTCCAAAGACACAAGAAAAAAAAGGTCATGGGCCCACAGCTCTGATGAAAATAGATGTAAATATTCCTAAGAAAAGTTAAGCCAAGTAATTCAACAGAACATTAAAGGGACCTTACACCATGACCAAATGGTATTTATTTCAGGGAGGCAAGGGTGGTTCACATCCACAAACCAATCGATACATGCACCACCATTAATAAAAAAGGTAAAAATCATGAGCATCTCCACAGATACAAAGAAATATACATATGACAAAGTCAGCATTCATCTCGATCTAAAATTCACCAAAATTCCAGAAACAGTTTTTTTCTTTTCTAATTTATATTGTAAAAGTTCTTAAATTACTAACATGACTACTTCTGGTAAACTGGGGAGAAAATATGCAAAGTATTAAATGGTAAATCATGTATACAATTAAAAATCAATGCTACCTCAATAAAAAAAGTAATTAATATTATAAACAAGTATTATTTGAGCCAGGAACTTCAAAAAGAATTCCATAATTTATACCATGCTTAAAGTTTCTTAAATATTTTATTATTTTCATAATGAATTTAAACCAGATGATTCATATGAAAAGATTATTTTGAAAATATTTCCTTTTATTCTTCATATAGACACCTGCCTATGATTAGGCTAGTATATGAATACCCTAATAAAAGACAGTTCTTGTTTCAAAAATAAAATTAAAAAAATGAATACTTTAGTCTGTGTTCAGAACTAGGGAACAGTAATATTAACGCTTGGCTCTCAGAGAAGATGACGTGAACAATCCATGAATAAAAACTTTGTAGGTTTAACCCTAAGCTGGAAGAGAATTTTAATGAGGAAAATTGGCAGTGATGTACTGTTTAAGGATTCACTATGCCAACATTTTATAAAATGCCAGTGTTTCTTTCTGATTAGCAAAAATATTTTCCTTTAGGAGGCATATTTTTATTTCTCTATTAAAAAATAAGAATGAAAAGACAAAACGGAGAAAAAGGGGGGGAGAGAGGGAAAAGCAAGTTAACAAAAGGAAATGAGGAAATCAGAAGAGAGACATTCAGAAGTGCTTGAGGAGGTTGCCAACCTCCCACAGCCGGGTCAATTTCCAGACCAGGGCTGGAGATCTGTGTGGGTTCAGCCAGGGCTGCTCTAAAGGTAGACACAGCGGAATAACTTTGAAAACAGGTGCTACATGACAATGTTTGCAAACTATGGACATGTGACAACTGAAACTTCAATTTCTGCAAAAATAGCAAAAAGAAATTTATAAACAAAACCAGCAAATCTGACTGTAGTTTTATCTCACTGAAAATCCAGCAGTAGTTAGCGGCACATACTCAGCGGCACATACCACACCTCTGAGGTTACTGTCCCAGAGCATCGAGATAAGCTGGTTGTTGTGTGTGGCGATTTTCAAGGCGCAGTGATATACTACATGCACAGCCCATACCAGAGAATACCAGGAGAAAAGATCAAGGGCCAAGGTGAAGAGGGGACCTGTCTCGTCCTCCCCACGGACACTGAAAGTCTGAAACTGATGTGTTTACGGCACTAAAAATCCAGTGGCACTTAAACCACCTAACACAATTATATGGCTACATATATAAATTTATCTAAACACACACACACATGCACATACATATCAAAGTGAATTGTAGGCAAGGATTTAAATAAAGGTTCGGAGATGGGAAGGGCTCATGAGGTTACAGAGTTCAGAAAGTCTGAGGAGTCCCTGCAGATAAAAGAAGACACATGATACTGGGGGGACCAGCTCAAGAGAGGTTGCAGGGAGTGAGCACCCAGCTAAAGTTGGACATCACGATGAAAATGAAGTTATGAGAACAGACATTTTTATAAATTTGCACTTACTTCCTTCTGGCCTTGGGGTGATGGCTCTATGAAAGCTTTGGTACAGCTAGTAAAAGAGAAAACAGCATTTTTAACAAATCAATGTAAACAATTCAAATAGGCTTGCCTATGACCCCACCAAAAAAAATAAATAGACCAATATTAATCCTACACTATCGTGTGCTCAAATACAAAGGACAAAAAGAGGCTTCAAGTATTCCCTGTGCCTCGGACTGCGGGAAACTTAAGTCGTTGAAACAGGATGAAGGGAACGTGATTCTTGATGCTTCAGGAAGTTACTAAGGTTATGAAAATTCAAAATGTGGGCCTTCTGGGTGGAGAATGATGAAGAAATATGCTGCATTCTCACCAATAAAATGAAGTTCATTTTCTCACCGTTCCTAAAATCTGTTGTCTACATAAGAAAGAAATGATCCCTGCCCACGATTTAAATAACTACACTGGAAACGGCTAAGTGGCAACGCAGGCTCTCTCTAAGCATCCCAGTGCGGGTCCAGTATTTGCAGGTGTAGACAGAGCACCTGGAGGAAATGCACCATCCCTGAACACACTCACTTACATACAGAGCTCGGTATTTTCTTTCCACAGACGTGTCTTAGTCTGTACATGTCCAATTACTTACTTGGCTCTTAATAGAAAAAGAGGCGCTTTAGATGCCTTCAAATTGGGGGTCTGGGGCACTGACACAGTGAAGGACAGGTGTATACTTTCAGTGGTGAGCTGAATGTAGCACAAATACAGGTCGATTCTCAAAGATGAGACAATTCCATAATACAAGCTGACCTCAATTTAAATCAAAGCACTGTACAGCCTTTGCTACTTTGGCAACAGAATGATTTGTCCGTGACTTGGTCACGTGACTTTGTTATGCAAATTCACTTTCCAAAGCATTTCTCAAGTCACTGGGGATTTACAAGTCAGTGTCTTCTCTTTACTAGAGGAAGTCAGTAGGATCTGTTTTGGATCTCCGTAACTATTAATGCTCTAAGTACTCTTGACTCACCACTGAAAATTCCAAGAACAAGAATAGGGAGATACAAATTTAGGAGGTTAAATGTAGGTCACATATAATAAAAGGATACACACAGGTGACTGCTTTGTTTTTCTCCCAAGAGTGATACTGTCAAAATACTTAATGTGGGCTTTCATGTTTCAGCTGCCACCACTACTGCAGCCCAGTCTCTTTGCCAGTTAAGTTCTCATCAGCCTCTCCCAGTGCTACAACGTATTGTTAGCTCTATTCTGACACCTCTTCTACTTTTCAAATCACATCCTTCGCCTTCATTGAAACCTGACTGGGGACTATGTGAAGGACCACAGGTGTTTCGCTGGGGAGTGTGGTGACAAAGATCTAAGAGGTGTGCACCTGTACCTCTGAGTAATTCACCGTGTTGTAAATTATTATTTTACCATGTTGTCAAATAACAGACTGTGACATGTTATCTCACTAAATATATACATAATATATATTTTAAAAATTAAAAATAATAAACCCTGCTGAAAAGACCCACACTTTCTCGATAAGCCTGTCTGGTACCTGCAGGCAGTCACTAGAGCCATAATATGTATGCAGAGTTTGTTTAACTAGGTTCTGTGTCTTTTCCATAGTGATCCTCAGTCCCTAAACGCACTGCATGAGCTGTGCGAGTCTCAGCTCCCAGACGCTTCAAACCCACAAGTGAAAGTGCTGCTCGAGTCAGTGGAAGGCAGGTGGCCTCCTGTGCTCTGAAGCAACATCACTGCCTTTCCTTTACTCCTCCAGCTCTCTGGAGACAGAGACCCAACTGTGACGACAACTGGATACTGCACAGCGTAAACCAGGCTGAGCCACAAATGGTCAAATCAAGGGAAATAACTACAGCAGTCATTTCTGATAGTGCCGATCCAGCTTCTTACCTACAGCTCCATCTGCACTGAGAGCAAATGAATGGCAAGCATTTACTGTGTCCATCATTCCGAACACTACCAAAAGGAAAGAAGAAACTGAGAAGTCGGCTGACTTCCTCAAAGACAAAGTCCAGAAAAATGAAAAGATCTAATGCTGTACCAATCTTTGTGCTCTACCTCAAAGCAAATCATGACAAGACTCAGTGTTTCCAAGATGAATTCAAATACCCATTTCAGCAGGGAATGGTTTTTCAAATACGACAAAGTAAAATCAACATAAACATGAATGCAAGTCAATTCTAAAAGGCTCGAAATAAAACCCAGCCACTGATTATCGTTACCGCTTCTTTTCCGCCCAGGGCTTCCAACCACTGCTTCCTTTCCTCTTCTGAAAATGCCTGCAACGTCAAGGAAACTCCAGGCCTGAAAGACACACCACATATCAGGTTAGCCTTTGGCTGTTCAAAGAAAAACCTATTCTCTATTTACCAGATTTTTGGTGAGCTTAGATATTAAATTGTGTTCTATTATTATCATTGTGTTGGAATATATATAAAATATTTGCCACTGTAACTATTTCTTTTTAAAGATTGTTTTATTTATGCATGCAAGAAGTGGGGTACAGGCCAGAGGACAGGAGCTGTGGGTGATGAGAGGATTCACCAGTTCAATGTGGGGAGTAGAACAGGCAGATCGACGAAGTACATTGCTGAGGGGAGCAGCAGGCAGGTCCAGAGAGGTTTGCTGTGCCACGTGGGTCAGCTCGCTGGCTGGGGATCGAACTTGAGCTACAGAAAGCTTCACAGTGCTGCATTCTTATGCCACCAGGGAGGCCCACCTTAACCATTTGTCATTATACAACTCAGCAGTACTAAGTACATTCCTATTACTGATCAAACCCATCATCAGGATATTTCATCTTGCAAAACTAAAACTCTATGAACTGAGCAACTTCCACAGAGCCCTGGCCCTGTCCTCCCGCACCTGCAAGCCACCCTCTCCCAGGCTGTGTCCGTAATGCTTCAGTGGAAGCACCCCGTATTTGGCTTTAAGGGGCTGGCTTATTTCACAGAGTGGAATGTCCTCATTTTCCATCTTGTAGCATGGGCCAAAATTTCCTTCCTTAAGGAAGAATTCCATTTCTCCAAAGAAAGGCATACAGAAAAGAAGCACATGTAAAGATGCTCCTCCTCACTGATCATCAGGAAAACGAAAATTTATTTTTTATAAGATTTATTTATTTATGCATACGTAACTGGGGTACAGGCCAGAAGTGCAGGGGCAGTGAGAGGATTCACCGGAGACGAAGTGAGAGTGGAGGGCAGAACAGGCAGAATGAACAAGTACTCTGCTGAGGGGAGCAGCGGGCGAGATCAGAGAGGTCTGCTGTGCCATGGGGGTCTCCACCCCAGCCGGGGATTAGCTCATGCTGAGGCGGCTTTGGCTAGCTTCGTAGTGCTGTGCTTTAACCTAGTGCTGCGCTTTAACCCACCACAGCACCAGGGAGGGCCCAGAAATGAAAATTTAAACCAGATTAAGATACCACTTCACATTCATGAGAATGCTCCATACAGAGTAAAACAAAAGCCACAAACCCAGGCAGTCTTGGTGAGATGTGAAGGAAAAGGAAGCTTCTCCGTATGCGATGGGAATGGAGACTGGCCCGGCCTCTATCAAAAACAGCTGCAGGGTATCTCAAAATATTAAAAATAGATCTACCATCTCCAGCGATCCCACACCAAGGATCTACCCGCAGAAAGCAAAAACACCAACTCAAACACACGCCTGCACCCCTGTGCTCACTGCCACGGGTCTAACAACAGTCAAGTAATGGAAACAACCCAACAGTTAGTTATGCCCCAGGACACAGGAGTGGATTACGAAGATGTAAAATATATACACAACTGACATGCTCGGCTATTTAAAAAAGATGAAATCTTGCTATTTGCAGCATGGCCAGAACTGGAGGGGATTACGCTAAGCACAGTAAGTCAGAAAGTGATAAATACCAGATGATTCCACTCAAATGTGGAATACAGAGAAACAAAAGAAAGGGACACACTAAACTAAAGCAAAACACACCCTGGAAATCTGACCGTAGAATTTAAACTTTTAAAGGAAGTGGGTGGGGGCTGGGCAGCAAGCTGGGAGCGGGCCCAACCCACCACGCTGGAGGCTGATGGGCGCCTCGATGGCCGCACGGTAACAGACCTGTGAAGGTGCGAACCTACTCCCCTAAATCACATCAAGGTGTTGTAAACCAACATCACAATTTAAAAAAAAATTGGCAGGAAAAATAAGAACTTTCAACCCCATCCCCACAAACGTCCCTAAAGCGGAGAGGGCCGGAGGGTGAACACAGTCACCAAGGAGCACGGAGGGAACCATCCCCACCGGGTGAAACCCTGTAAAAATCCCTGGGATCGGAGAATTTCTAAGCTGCTGATCTCATGGCGTCGCTGGTGGGGGGGTGTCACCCCCTGAAAGGACACGGACGCCTCCTCCCCCTAACTTCGTTGTATGTAGCTTCCTCTGCTGCACGTTGTGTTCAGTAGCATGCCCTCTGCAACGCACTGGTGCAGTTCATTTCCGTCTCCCTCAGTTTGGGGACTGTTCCCGCCGACTGCTGCCAACTCTCCACTAGTGCAGGTGGGCGAGGAGCGAGCAGAGGACCCGGCCTTGCCACTGCCGTGTCTGGGGGAGGGCCGTCCGCAGAGCCCGCCCTCGGCCCTGACGTCTGCACTAGTGCTGGTGAAGGTCAGGGCTGAGTCAAGTCAGAGGACGAGCGACTGGCTGGGGAACAAGACACTGGGGAAGAGGAGTGGGAGAAACAGACTCCTCACACTGGCTCCGCGGTGACTCTATTTTTGACTTGTGTGTGCAGTGGCCACACTGACTGCATAGCAGCTGCTCATGGCGAGTTCTCACCAGCCCACGGGACTCTCCTTCCTCACACCCTCCCCACTGCTCTCGTCCCTGCCTCTCTCTGTGAGGTGCATGACGTGGCAGTGACGATTACGTTACTTATAGATGAAATGCATGCTGATTATCACCCAGGCATGGACGAGTAAACCATAGTTATTTTCAGCCACCCCAGGCCCTATTACCCACTTAGTGTGTTTCCTGACTTTGTTTGTAAGACCCTGTGATGACCCTCAGGGCCAACTGCCGGTTTTCCCAGTTCAGTTTATTCCAGCATTTGCGATTCAGCTAGAAATTTCTGAGAAGAAATACTAGGTAGAAAAGCCATTAATCATCCCAGTTACCCAGCTACAGACGGTTTCGCAAAGGAAACAAGTTGTATGTATTTGATCAAAGGTTATTAGAAATATGGCATTAAGGGAATTCGTTATACAAATTCCATGTAAGGCAAGGAATTGAAGGGAATACACATGGAAAGAGAAAACTGGAAGTGAAAGCAGATGCTGAAATCGAAAGTAAATATTAGTTCCCATTTGCTATTGAATATACTTTTTGCAAGTTACCACTTCTTATATCTAACAACTAGATAATCTTTTTCAATCAAAGCAAGCTATAAGAGTCAACGGTATCTCAGTAATCACTACAATCTTTCTGATGTAGTGTATGAAATATCCCCAAGCAAATGAATAAGCAGAGCTCCCAAGGCCCCCACAGGCGCTAAGCCATGTGATGGGAAGCACAGAAGAAGTTATTTGCTGAAAGTTCACTATAAAATTCAACAGCTACATGTGCTAGGCTGTTGTCCACCATTTTCCCCAGATTATCATATTTGTGGAGAAACCACCTTTAATTCCCACACCCCACTCCACAGCTGCACATGGCTCCTGCACCTCCCCACAGTGGGGAACCCACGCTGTCCAGTCCCTTCGCCCTAGGGGAAGAGAATGCAGGCTCCCCTTTTCCTAGCTCTACACACAGCCTTGCACCCTTTGGGAGCAAGAATCAAGACAGCCAAGCTGCTTAAACATGCTCCACTGGACAATGAGATTTTGAGCCTCACTAACGCACACTGGGCACAGGACTGAGAGCTAAAATGTGAGGGAAAGCTTCAGTCAAAATGCCAGGTTTTCTCTAAATCAGTGAAGTAATAAAACAACATTTACACATGAGCATCTTCAGTCTGCCATAATGTTCAACTCTTGTAAAGAATTAAAAAATCTCTAGAAAGTTCTAAATAGGACTATATTGAAGAGTAATATTACTACTTCAATCCAAAAAAAAGCTGTATTTATTAAATGTCAACTATGTAATTAAGTGAATCAAGGTATAAGATACAAAAAATGAGATGTGATAAAAAGAGGATCGGGCCCTCCCTGGTGGCACAGCGGGTTAAAGCGCTGCACTGAGAAGCTTAAGCCACTTCTGCATGAGTTCAATTCCCGCCTGCCCGGGAGGAGCACCACATGGTGAGGCAGACCTCTCCTGACTCGCCTGCTGCTCCCCTCAGCAGTGTACTGCGTCGATCTGCCTGTTCTGCTCCCCACTCTGTCTCTGGTGAATCCTCTCACCCTCCACATCTCTGGCCTGTACCCCAGTTCTATATGAATAAATAAATCTTAAAAAAAAAAAAGAGGGTCGACTGCTTCTTTGTCCAGGAATGTTGAAACTAGCAGAGAAAACAGGACACAAATGGCAGCCTCTGGCATGAGAAGATTAACATGGGATGTATATCCAGTAAATCAAGTGATGCACAAATGTCTAAGGCTTTAGACCTTGCCCAGCCCTCCCTCCCCACCCCCCCCCAAACCGGGTCAGTGACTATTCACAGAATACCACATCATGTGCTGGGCACTGGGCTGGATGCACAGTACAAAAAGAGCTACTGTCTAGCAGAGAAAGCAGAATGGCAACAAGCTACAATCCATTCAACTGCTCTGCGCCAAGCACGTAAAGGACTCGCAGTCACTGTCAATGGCAGAAGCCAGCTGCCCAGCAGATAAGGATAGAACCTGGAAAATAAAGGTGCCGAACTTCACCGTGTTCAGTCACTGAGGTCAAGAATGTGCCTGATCCACTGGCCACACCAGAGTCTGCAATTGCCGTGGGAATAAACAAGAGGGATGGTGCGACGCCACTTAGGCTGCCCTGGGCAAGGGGCACTGAAGCTGAGGCCTCACGCATGAGTGCGCCAGGGTAGAGCCACAAGGCTTTCTGCTTCCCTCTACAATGCTCCATCGATGTGTGAAGACAAGTGACCGTTGCTAAGGGGACATGGCTGCATCTTCTCAAACCAGATGACGCTTGGATCAGCAGAGATACACAGGTACGAGAAAGAATGTCACCGGGAACTTGGAGCACAGAAGATAGCAGGGGGTGATGGCGCATGGAAAGAGTCATGAACCAATCAGATACTGAAGAGGGGAAAAGCACTGTGAGGCTTCAGCTGGGACAGCCACACACAGGTGGGTAAAGACCCAATGTGGCGCGGACACGGGTGTGGG